CTCTAAAGTCAACCGTTTTCAAGAAAAATGACTTTATGAACAAAAGCAAACATTTTGCTAACGTTTTGAAAATCTTTTGTAATTCAAAAAATAGGTAGTAATAATTAATAATTTTAACGAAATTTAACAACAGATAGGATTTTAACTTTTTTTTATCAATTTACAGAAACTGTTCAAAATTACGTCCGTTGGCTTGAATGCACGCATTACATCTTCTAATCATGTTTCTTTCTGCCGCTGCGGTTTCACCTTTATCGGTCAACTTTTCGATAGTATTGACATGGATTTCATAAACGATGCATTTCGTTCTCCGGATGTTCTGTTCAGTTACTTGCACTTGCAAAATGTTCAAAACGCAAAATGCAAAATGCAAAAAATTTTCGAAACGTTAGCAAAATGTTTGCTTTTGTTCATAAAAAGGCATTTTTCTTGAAAACGGTTGACTTTAGAGCAATGAACCAAGAGAACTCTTATTGTGTAAAATTCATTGGCGCTTTAGAATTTGCTGTCAAAAGTCAATTTTTCCAGTGGCGTAAAATTTAAGGGGGAAAAACCCTTACGATACCTTAAAATCTCCACCACTGGCACGTCCAATGAATTCGAGAAGGGTGCGAAAAAGTAGCTACTAATAGTGGTAATGTGTGTACAAAAGCTCAGTCCTGTAGTGCAAACGATTCCTAAGATATTGGCGAAAAACTAAAAAAAAAATTAGTTTTGACACCGTGTATCTCGAAAACGAAAGCTCGGAGAGAAAAATGGAAGAGGAAAATAATGTTTCTTTTTTCAAGAGGAATTTACAGTTTTCCCTTTCGGTGCGCATAAGAATCACAAAAAATGTTAATTGAACTGAAAAATTTTTATACTATTAAGTATTGCATCTACAAAGATAAATTTGCTATGGTGTTATTTATTCGAAAACAGACATTTAAAAACAAACTGTAACCGCAAAAGTATAGTAGTAAGCAGAAATTAACAGGTGTACAAATTGGTCCTTCTGTTCGACATATTACTGGCATTTACGCAATAATGACCTTGAGTTTGATAAATACACTGGCGTGATATGGGCGTAATCGATGGTGCAGAATTTTGAATGCGTTATATTAGTCCCTCCCTTATATTTATTGGAGAAGAGTATGCCTGTTGTTCCAGGCAAAATAATCAAGGGGATTAATGTCGGGTTACCTTTGAAGTCACGATACAAGACCTCCACTGCCTGTCCATGTTACTTACAATGTGATAATAGTACTGACAGTACTCTGTCTGAATCAACCAAACTTTTATGTAATTTTATGTGCACCAAAAGCAAAGCATCACTCACTCATACTCGAAAACATGGATTGTTCAGGCATCAGGGTGTCGCTAGATACGTATAGAATAAATTGATCGATGCGAAGCTTCAGATCCGAGGCAAACATGTACATGTTATTGTACAATGAGGCAGATATTGTGAAGTAGCTGATGCTTCGCTACACCATTAGTAAAAATAGCAACTATTAAAAACTTTAGATATTACGAAAAAACGATAAAAAACAATTAAAATTCGACAACTTTTCTAGTCCTCTGACAATTGTTAAAGTTAGTACGTTTGAAAATTAAACACCCTGTATAAATATTACCGCAAAATGGTGTGAACAATTTAAAAGTAATCTTGAAATTATTGACGATTTTGAAATAGAAATAACCGAAAAAGAGAAAACAAACAAATTTTGGCTGCATTGTGACTGACATTTGAGTATTTTTACGGAAAATTTCACTTGGAAACTCTCACAAGTCTAAATTTAAATTTGAGAACTATCCAAAAACGACACCTACCCAAAAAAAATAATGACCGATTTCCTAAATTTACATTGAATCACCGTAGAAAAAAGTTGTCTAAACTACGAAACTTTCACATCTAAGTGATCATTGTAAAGGAGAACGGTTATTTTTTCTAAAAAAAAATAACTGGATAAATAGATCTCGCTGTGTTCTCTTTTGTAAAGTTAACAGTTATTTAAGATGAACTTTTTAAGAGCATCTCCGCAAAAAACTTGACACTAATTTGATAAATATTGAGTACAATTCGTTGATGACCTGGTCGAGCGAATGTTACACTGAGGGATATATCATTTACGGACTATCTTAGCGAAACTTTTTTATCAGCCGATTTCTCTCAGTGTAATTAGAGAAAAAATGAATAAAAGGTGATGAAATACAAGCGCATCCTTCGTAAATGGCCTTCTAAGTCGTTAATTAATTGTTGCTATGGAAAAAACGCATATCTAAATAATTTTACAATTAGTAACCCATATCCTTATCGTAACCGTAAATATACGTTATGTAAAAGTGCATGTATTACGTTTAAATTGTAGAAAAAAGATAAATGAGGACTGCGGCAAGTGTTACGAGTATTTTTTAAATTAAAATCGTTTTCATTGCACTCTTGACACTACGAAAATACAAGACACTTAACACTAGTGCTATAAAATGTCAATGGACAAAATTTAGTTCTATGAAATATCAACCAAAATTTCATTAGTTGTTGCAAATAATTTGCAAATTTTCAAAATTTTGCAAAGCAAAAACCAAGGCCCTTAGATACTTGAAAATTTCGACATATTTTGAAAATAATTGTTGTTTAAACAATTTTAGAATATTTAAATAAATTTGTTTTTTATTTTTGATAAACAGTATATAAGTTTATGCATTTACCTTTGATACCATAAAAAAATAAAGTTGATAATTAAAGGAAGTTTAAAGATAAATAATTATCGGACTGTTAAAAGACCAATAATAATTATTAACGATAGGCAGTTGAAAATACGCTATCGATCTAAAAAAAAAAAAAATATCGAAATCGGACCTCTAGAAGCTGATATATTAAAAATTTTTAAGCGCGTCACGGTTTTGAACTCGCCTATTCAATTTCGAGCAGGCCAAAGCGGCCGCGCTCTCTACTTCCCTCACCACTAGGGTTTCTGGTCGAGACTTCTCGAAGCGAGAATTCCCGGGAAATCTGGCCTTACTCGAGCCGAGAAGTGTCGAAAAATCGAGAAATTTAAAAATCACGCACGTCTTAAGTTCTTGACTGGAGTTCGTTTCGTTCATGCGTTCAATTCGTTTCTCGATAAACTGAGCGGTTAAAGTGGTTTCTCGACTAGCTCATTGTTTTGTTAATTAAAGGATTGTGATTATAAGCGATAAATTAATAGGAAGAACGCTTCTGTATCTTTAAATTAAAGCTTGTTTTTTTTTAAGATTCCTTCGGTTAAATTCCTTATTTACTATTTGTTTAATTAAAAGACTGCATGATTAATGATTATTAATAATTATTGGAAGAAAGCTACGATTCAAAAATATTGAAATAAACATAAGTATATTGAGTGTTTAATAAAAAAACAAGTTAAAGGTTTTTAAGAAGGAGATACTCAAAGTTTAATTTAGTTTTGTTAGTAGAAGTAGAAACATAAGTAATTAATAAAAATACTTAATAAATAATAAATGTTAATGATGATTGTTAAGTATAATAGCATGTTTATATTTCGTATTACAATACCAAAATTATGACTGTTTTAGAAGTTTCTCGAGAATTCGAGAATTCCCGGGAATTCCTAGTCGACAATTCTCGAGCCCCGAGAAAAAAAGTAGGCCGAGAAATCAGAAACCCTACTCACCACCACCACCCGTACGATTTTCTTGAATTTCTCGCTTGCATAAATAACTTTAAACGCGTTTTAGATTGACCAATCGTTTTGTTTTTTTTTTTTAAAGAAGCGTCTCCAATAACTTCTAAAACCTGCTTTAAAAAATTTGATTTGATTGAATATTCACAAAGTTATTCTAATTATTTACAAGTACAAAAATTCGACCAATTTTTAAACAAGCACCAGAGCTCTCCTAATTGACGGATTCGAATTTTTCAAAAAGCGTTTGAAAGCTCGACAGCCCTTCTATACGTGATTAAATTTTCAAGTATCTAAGGGCCTTGGTTTTTGCTGTGCAAATTTTGAAAATTTGTAATTTTTTGCAAAATTATTATGCAAAATATATCTAACCGATTTTGATGAAATTTGGTGTGATGATTCTACTTAACATGAACTTTTCTTGAGCCAAGTATGAAGGTCCTATAGCCAACTTAAAGACCCCAAAAAAAATCCCTAAAAAGTAATGTTTTTTAACCCCATTTTTGGCGATTTTTTCGATTTTTACAATAATAATCATGATTCATTCGATTTGTAACTAGTCATATTTTGTAAAATTTAATTACAAACATTTTTTTCCTTTTCCATTTTCGCCTAAAATCAACTCTTGAAAAGATACATAATTAAATAGGAAGAAATATATGACATTTTTCGAATTTTTTTAACATGTGCCACCAAAAGTTAAGCCCATATTTCCTGTATGAGCATAGAAAAATTTTCATTTCTAGTGATATTTGAAAGCCAAAAAGCCAAAAATCTCCGTGGATTTACGATTCACCCAAACCAAAACAGATACCGCCTAGTCTAATATGATGTTCATATGTTTAAATTAAAATCAGATTTGTATCGTACACTACTGAAAATTCCTTTAACGCTAGTGCCCAAAAAACACTACACACTAGTGTCACAAAGTGTAAACGTAGTAAAATCCAAACTTTCAGCTATTACATCATTTTTTTCTAAGTTTTACAAGACCTAGATAATTATTATCGTCATTCCCATCATTATTCTCCCTTTTTTTTGTATGACGAGAAAGCTTGTTTTAGTTGATCTACATTCGCAACTTAAAGTTCGGTACACTTTTTTTTTCATAGCTGTACGTCTCTTTGCCCACGTGTCCAAAGCATGAAGACCACCACGACTCGAGTTACCAAACACCATAAAATGCCGACTTCCCGACTTCGCCGTTTCGCTCCGCATGTATTATGCAGCCACTAGATCAAAGCAAGCCGTCGTCGTACCGCGGGGCGAGCAATAACGAAATAAAATCAATAAAAACCAACTAGAAATCTAAAACACGATACAACTGCGGGTACTTACATGGGCCCAGAAGTTCACAATTTGCTCATAATAACCGTTCATCGACGTAGGGAAGAACCTTACCGAGCACACACCGCGAGAAACAGCTAACAAATGAATCGCTGCGAACTCCGGATCCGTAACGTTGGCGTCGCCGAGTCAATCAGCTGTTTTGTGTTGTGTTTGGGGGCTGGTGGAAAAGAAGACTGGAGGTGGGTGCGGGAGACGTCGAGCAAAGCCGGCGTTTCGATCTAGAACATCCTGTACACGGTTCTGATAAGTTTACGTCGGAATTGTTTTGATTGAAAATGTACTTACTTGGTACGTCTGGTCGGAAAGCATTCTTCGATGATTGGAGTGTTGTGTAATACGAAGGTATTGACTCTTTATTTTAAAGATATTAAGTTCAATTCAAATAAATTAAAACAATATTCAATTTCTTGTTATCCTCTCTTTGCTATCCTATCGTTTAAATTTATAATCCAGGCTATAGAACATTCCAGGCGTTTGTATCTGAAGTAATCTATTTTGTTGTACAGAAAAATCCCAAATATTATGTAGAATAAGAATACGAGTTTGCTTATTCAGGGGAACAACAAACATATAAAAATTTCGATATATTTCTCTGTAACATTGAAAGTAAGCCCTAAATAAAAAAAGCCATTCTTCATATTTTGTTTATTTGACAATTTTCTATAAAGTTACAATAACTGCGAATAAAAAAAGTTGAATTTTACATTAACAATGGGCGAAAATAGTAGAAAATCATATGTATATCAGGAATAATTTTTAAAATAAGTAACTACCTATGTATAAATATTTATGAAACTTTCTGAACAACTAGTAAAACATATTAGACTAGGCAGTATCTGTTTTGGTTTGGGTGAATCGTATATCCACGGAGATTTTTGGCTGTTTGGCTTTCAAATATCACTAGAAATGATAATTTTTCTATTCGCATAAAAAAAACGTGGGCTTAACTTTTGGCGGCACAATATGTTTAAAAAATTCGAAATATGTCTTAATTTTCTTCCTATTTAATTATGTATCTTTTTAAGAGTTGATTTTAGGCGAAAATGGAAGAGGAAAAAAATGTTTCTAATTAAATTTTACAAAATATGACTAGTTACAAATCGAATAAATCATGATTATTATTGTAAAAATCGCAAAAATCGTCAAAAATGGGGTTAAAAAACATTACTTTTTAGGGAATTTTTTTGGGGTCTTTAAGTTGGGTATAGGACCTTCATACTTGGCTCAAGAAAACTTCATGTTATGAAGAATCATCACACCAAATTTCATCAAAATCGGTTAGATAGATTTTGTATAATAATTTTGCAATCCAGATTTTGAAAAAAAAATTGCAAATTTTCAAATTTGTACACAGCAAAAACCAAGGCCCTTAGATACTTGAAAATTTAATCACGTATATAGAAGGGCTCTCAAGCTTTCAAACAGTTTTTGAAAAATTCCAATCCGTCAATTAGAAGAGCTATGGCGCTTGTTTAAACATTGGTCGAACTTTTGTACTTATAGACAATTAGAATAACTTTGTGAATAGGTATTCAATCAAATCAAATTTTTTAAAGCAGGTTTTAAAAGTTATTGGAAAGACGCTTCTTTAAAAAAAAAACAAAATGATTGGTCAATTAGTTACGTAGTTATAGCCGATCAAAGTTAACCGTCATTTACACTAAATGTACTGGGACATCCGGGCTAATTTTTCGAAAAATACCTTTGGTATTCCGATAGGGTTTCTGATTTCTCGGCCTACTTTTTTTCTCGGGACTCGAGAATTCTCGATTAGGAATTCCCGGGAATTCTTGAATTCTCGAGAAATTTCTAAAATTTAAAAGTCATAATTTTGGTATTGCAATGCGAAATATAAACATGCTATTATACTTAACAATCATCATTAACATTTATTATTTATTCAATATTTTTAATTAATTAATTAATGTTTCTACTTCTACTAACAAAACTAAATTAAACTTTGAGCTTCTTAAAAACCTTTAACTTGTTTTTTTATTAAACACTTTCAATATACTTATGTTTATTTCAATGTTTTTGAATCGTAGCTATCTTCCAATAATTATTAATAATCATTAATAATGCAGTCTTTTAATTAAACAAATAGTAAATAAGGAATTTAACTGAAGAAATCTTAAAAAACAAGCTTTAATTTAAAGATACAGAAGCGTTCTTCCTATTAATTTATCAATTAAATTATTTTTTTTTATAATCACAATCTTTTAATTAACAAAACAAAAATAAAATAGTCAACAGGAACTAAATATTTTCAGAATCAACATCAACATTAGGTATCTGCTTATAATATAATTTCTACACAGACTTATAACTAGGTACATTAAAAAAAAATAGAATCATAAAGTAAACTAAAGCCTTAAAAACTTAAAATAAATAAATCATGAGCTAGTCGAGAAACCACTTTAACCGCTCAGTTATTTGTCGAGAAACGAATTGAACGCATGAACGAAACGAACTCCAGTCAAGACCTTAAGACGCGCGTTATTTTTAAATTTCTCGATTTCTCGACACTTTTTTCTCGTCTCGAGTAAGGCCAGATTTCCCGGAAATTCTCGCTTCGAGAAGTCTCGACCAGAAACCCTACATTCCGAGTACTTATCAGTTCTAAGTTTGCAATACTTTTCTTCATTGGCAACCTACTTTAAAACCCGTTTAAAGTTATTTATGCAAGCGAGAAATTCAAGAAAATCGTACGGGTGGTGGTGGTGGGGGAAGCAGAGAGCGCGGCCGCTTCGGCCTACTCGAAATTGAATCGGCGAGTTCAAAACCGCGACGCGCTTAAAAATTTTTAATATCTCTGCTTCTAGAGGTCCGATTTTGATAATTTTTTTTAAATCGATGTCTCGCGATTTAAAAAAAAAACAATTAGGGTATTTTCAAATGCCTATCTTTAATAATTATTGGTCTTTCAACAGTCCGATAATTATTTATCTTTAAACTTCCTTTAATTATCAACTTTATTTTTTTATTGTATCAAGAGTAAGTGCATAAACTTATATACTGTTTATTAAAGGTCAAAAACAAATTTATTTAAATATTCTAAAATTGTTTAAACAACAATTATTTTCAAAATATGTACAAAATTTGTAATTAATTAATTAATTAATTAATTATTAATTTAATCATCATTTCTTTTGTGATTAAAGTATAATTCAAATATTATTTACTGTTTAAAATATAAGCAAATGAGAAATTAACTCATTATATTACAAAAATACAAAATTATAGTACAAAAATTCGACCAATGTTTAAACAAGCGCCAGAGCTCTCCTAATTGATGGATTCGAATATTTCAAAAAGCGCTTGAAAGCTTGAGAGCACTTCTATATGTGATTAAATTTTCAAGTATTTAAGGGCCTTGGTTTTTGCTGTGCAAAATTTTTAAAATTTGCAATTTTTTTTCAAAATCTGGATTGCAAAATTATTATGCAAAATCTATCTAACCGATTTTGATGAAATTTGGTGTGATGATTCTACATAACATGAAGTTTTCTTGAGTCAAGTATGAAGGTCCTATATCCAACTTAAAGACCCCAAAAAAATTACCTAAAATGTAATGTTTTTTAACCACATTTTTTACGATTTTTTCGATTTTTACAATAATAATCATGATTCATTCGATTTGTAACAAGTCAAATTTTGTAAAATTTAATTACAAACATTTTTTTTGCTCTTCCATTTTCTCCAAAAATCAACTCTTGAAAAGATACATAATTAAATAGGAAGAAATAAATGACATTTTTCTAATTTTTTTAACATTTTGTGCCGCCCACGTTTTTTTTATGCGCATAGAAAAATTTTCATTTCTAGTGATATTTGAAAGCCAAAAAGCCAAAAATCTCCGTGGATATACGATTCACCCAAATATGGACTATTTGGAACAGATACTGTCTGGACTATATGTCAATTCTACCCTAAAAATTTTGCAACGATCGATGGCGTGGTTTTCTATTGACAGGATTGTTAATTAAGAAAATTTCAAAAAGTTTATCGTATACCGTGGGTTTAAATTAACTTATTGTCACAATAAACAATGATCAATACTAAAAATACCTATTTTTACACTTTTATAACCGTTTAGAATTTTTTAAAATTTTCGTCATTTTACTCTACAAACAATTATTTATTGCCCAGGGAATTTTCTATGCGATCGACAAAATCATGCACACATAAACTACGTCGTAACACCTTGCTTTTTAGCCAAATACGACAGCATTCTACTGTGTAGATTCTGAGATATAGAAGAAAATTTTGATATATTTAAATTAATTAACAAAAGATCATTAAAATAAGAAAATATATATTTTTTTAATTTAATCATTAAAATGTGAATTTCGTGAAATGCATTGATGAACACAAACTAATAAAACTTGATTACCATAATTTAACTATTTTTTAAACGCAAACGAAAGTGGCATAATTAAGTGGCAAAAAATAAAGAATGACTTTTTTTATTTAGGACTTACTTTCAATGTTACAAGCAAAAATATGTGGAAAAACGACATTCTTCGTTCTTTTTGTATGTTTGTTGTTCCCATGAATTTAGCAATGTTTTTTTTTTGGAATAGGTAAACTCGGATTTTTATTCTACATAATATTTGGGATTTTTCTGTACAACAAAGTAGACGACTTCAGACACAAACGCCAAAGCCTACTTTTACTGCTCTAGCGCCTGGACTATTAAGAAAATAAACATTTCAAAATTTTTTTTATTTTTTTTTGCTTTTGGAAAAGTTACTGGACATTTAAGAAAACAATTACACTAATCTTTATTTAATTGCATTCAAATTGATATCCTAAGCTGAATTTCGTCCTTGATCCTCGATTTACACACATTTATTTATAAGATTGATTTTAGATTTTTCTGCGAAGTTTACTTACGTTTCAAACAACAGTTCTTTTTTCAAAACTACTTTTTTGGGTAAAAAAAATATCAAAAGTTTTCGTAAACTATTTTTTTTGTTAGAAATTTAGACGATATTCAAAACTTTGGAAAAACTCTTTTTTTTTTTTCGTTTGGTTATTGCAAGTATAGATTAAGCTGTAAAAATTTCTCTCAACATTGGTCTTTTCATGAATATCTATAAATTCATC